TTTTATTTATTCAGAATTTTTTTTATCAATTTTATAAGTAAGTAAATATATATAATTAAATAAGTTTCTAATTTCTAAAATTGTATATAAAGATGTACTAAAGACGACGTACCAAGAGGAAGAGGGCTGCAGTTGCACGCCGCAGCATCTTGACCAGAATCCTTTTTCAGCAGGGCATTGTTCGCGCAGCCTCTCTATAATGACGAGGATGATCCCCAGAGATAATCGCACGCAGCGCGTCGTTCGAACTGAACACGTCGCTGGCAGAAAAAGACTTTTATACAGGGTGGGGATCGCCGATCCCCCAACTGGTCTCATCTTCGCCTTATCTTCTCTTTTCCCTATTCTTCTCATTTCAATTTCTCGAGATTCACTTCTGTACTTTCTTTCATCTCTCCTCTTTCTCTTCCCTCTTTTTTATGCAAAATGTAATTTTGTCAAATCATTGATAATTAATTTGACATGTTACTTAATTGTCAATTTTATCATTATATTTTTATTTCGATGATTTTTGCAAGCATTTTGAATCATTTACTTTAGAAAACATTAGTTATAAAGTCTTGTTTATTAAAGTCTTTTGTTATTTTATCACTTTATTGTTATTCCTATATTTAATTATCCTTGATTATTGTTAATTTGGTCTTTACTCAGAACAATTTTTTAATCGTGACTTTATTTCTGTCACATAAAGGATTAAGTTAGTATCAATATTCGATACCATTTGTAGTGAAATGTTTCCATTATTACGTATCTATCAGTCTCTCTTGAACAAATGACGTATAAACCTTGATTAAGAATAACCTGCTCAAAATGTAGTTCAGGTGCGCTCTTACGCAAGTGCATTTAGATTTCTTCAGTTTATGGCTCCCACGCTTACTGAACAACCAGATGAATTAATCTCAATTAATTCAAGTAAGTTTGTCATATATGGTTAACGGTGGTGGCGCGAATTCTTAACAAATGTCAAAGATGATTAATAAGAATCAATTAAATATTACGAGTCGTGACGTTTAATTGGATTCGAAGAACACTTTCAATGTCTTTCATGTCATTGTAACACTACTGACTATAAGGTTTATTTATTGGAAATAACTTCCCTGTCGAAGTCTAACATACTTTGTCATTGTTAATGAAGCAATAGATCGACATTGCAAGGGGGTTACTTTCATTCTTTCTCGAGAAACACAATGAAGAATAGATTAAAATTTAAATAATAATGCACAGATAAATTTTAACATGTTTTAATTCAAATTTTATAAATATTTTATATTTTTTAGTTTTAAATAAGTATTTATATTGTAAAAAGACTAATTACATTTATAATATAAATATATATTAATACATAATTTTATGTACACAATATGTACATATATACATGTATTTATATATATATATAATATTATGCGTAGATGTTTATTTAAATCCAAATACAGTTTAATAAAAATATAATATCTCATAAGTTTTTAATAAATTGTAAAAAGATCTATATAAAAAGAACTGAATTTAAATTTAATTTTAGTAATATGACGAAGAGTCATGTTTATACTAAATAAAATTTTTAATTCTTATTACATGACATATCTTGTTATATGTATGCCTTTTTTGAAAAACAAATCCGTTTAGAAAACTAACTTTGTCTTTGTTGCATAATGTTTCTGATTGCAGAATGATTTGTGTTGTGGTTCACCTTCATATTTGTAGATTATATCAGTGTCTACCAAATGTGTAGAATGTTCCTATAATTTCAGAGTGAAAATGAGCTTGAAAATAATTAAAGCATCAAATCTTTCTATTAAAAAAATGTTCTATTATTTCCCGCATTTTTTAATTATATGAAATTATTTCTGGAAAAGTTTAAAAAAAAGAGGTTGAACACCTTGACAAAATAGAATAGGCAATATATTCGCGCCTATTTGGAAATTGAATAAGATAAGGATTTATTGTCTGTTTATATTTCTGAAGTTTATTTTGAATTAAGTTCCCTCTTCAATTAATAATTTCAAGATCTTAAAACGCCTTCAAAGCTTTTGTCAGAAGAAAGATAAATTTTCATTAACGAAAGAATCTTTAAAATGCTAAACTTTGTTAAATATGGAATATCGTATATGGTAGGTATATGATATGAGAAAGACGTGACATTGAGATTTGACACAAAAAATGCTCTTCAAGCATGCTTGTTGCATTTCAATGATATCCATGCGTTTCACATGTCGTTGACGTAAAAGGCAATTCCTCCAAACGTCAGTGAACTGATATGAATATTTATATGTCGTTTACAGTGCACTCGTTTCCTGCTTGCTTTACTGTTACAGATATGTAGAACTTAAAGGTAACCTTTTTGGAGCAGCTGAAGATGTAAACTTGCGATAAGTATACATTATTTCAGATTAGAATGGGATTAGATTTATGATCTGGAACATACAGATAAGCTATTACATTTATTAGATTAAATTATTTTATATTATGTAGTTAATTTTGATTCGTTAAACTCAAGAATTTTTGCAAAATTGTTAATTTCGTTTTTAATCTTATTCAAAGAATCTAAGAACTTCTAATATTATTATTTTTCAATAATATGAATATTTTTAATTTGACTTTAATTATATTTGTAAAAGTGTGTTATTAAATAATTTATTAATATAATGTTGTAATTTTGAGAATTGATATAATTTCCTTTTTCTTCTTCTTTATGAAATACTTTAATATCTGTGAAAACCACTCGAATGGAAGCGTAGATAAGGCAATAGCAAATGAGGAAATTTGTTTGCATGCTCATTCCAAAAATTCACACGTAAGTTAAACAATGTCATTTATACGTCAATTAATATTCTCTAATATATTTTTCAATCATTGGTTTATCATTACTAAGGTGTATATGTACATACATCGGGAAATAAGTAGATTTCACTAAGCAGAAAAAAAATGAAATATTGCATATAATACGACGATATCGTCATTACATATAACATATAATCTTCTCTGATCAGATTATCATTTAAAATAAATTTTAACTGCAGACTTTTAAAATAAAATGCGGAATATGCTTACATGAAATATCTTATGGAACATCGCAATGCATAAATTAATTTCGATTTGTTCAATTTATAAATTCTTGAAAAATTATTACTTCAGTTTAGATATCAAGTATTTTCAATTAGTATGTTAAATAAAGAATAATGTTCCAAAGCGAGTGGGAAGAAAGTGCAAGTGAAACGAGCAGACTTATTAAGTCAATCCCAAATTATGCAAATATTTTTGGTGCTTGTATTAATTCATCCTAAGTAACTAGATGCCGGAAATATGTCGGAATTTATTAACATCTATAGAATCTGAGAGTCGACGCGACAAATTGATGTGCTGTGAATATATGATAGGAATTTGCTTCGAAGACGTCATCAGAGACGAATTTTATTACTGGAGAAAGTGCTTGATCATCATAAGATCATAAGATCGTTCGTTTTTAAAGATACTTCTAATACTTGTATACGTATGATATGATAAACGTAAAATGAATTATAATAATTTTTATATAAAGTAAAAAAGAAAAAAACAAAAATGAAGAAGATATAATTAAAAAATTGAGTGTTGTTTGTTATTTTGACTGCTACTATTTAAGATGTCAGTCTCGATTACTGACGCGGAGTTTTTTTCTCCTTTATGCAGAATAATTAGAAGCTTTTCCGCAAATTCAGAATACAAAAAGATGATACATTTCAATTTCCACAAAATTTTTAATTGTTTCGTTTTAATATATAGAAAATCGAAAAATTGTCAAGAAGACTTAATACGAAAAAGTTCTATATTCTAAAAATAAACTTTAATTTGGCAGTATTATAAAAATTCGGATAAAAATTTTTAATTGAATTAAATTCGGATTAAATTTTGAAATACAATCGATAAATGGAGTTCTAAATATAATACATATAATCACAATATGAATTATACAACATTATTTAAGTCATTTTATTCCATCTAAAAAAATTTTTATAATCATTTTACATAAAATAAAGCAAATATAATAAAGTAGCAGATATGATCAGTTTAACTTGAACTTTGATGTTAACAATAAAAAGTGTCGACAATCTTTTAATATCTTCCGTATATAATTCTTTACAATTAGCACACGTAATTTCTGTTGGAATATTCCTATCTTTTTGAGGATTTATATTCGCGTTGCGTGCAGCATGTTGAAAAGTGTACGGGCTTATCTCGTGAGCTCGACACTGCAGTTTAAATCATTGTCTTTGCTAGAAGGTTAAGGACCCAGGTTATTAAGAGCAAACCGGTTTCATGATATTTTTTGTAACATAAAATTTCTTAAGGAATCCGCAGTCTGTTTAACTGACAATCCGTCAACAGAACAATGACTGACTTAATTTTTTTAGACTGATATATATATATATTTATTTAAGTTTACATCAATATATCATGTTTTAAACATTTAAATTGTTAGGATTTTTTTTAAGGAAAGAACACTTATTCTTATTCTGCCCGAGATCATTCCAAAATTTGTAAATAAAATTAATACAAATAAATCAAACTTTCAGTTTGGTATACAAATACAAATATAAAAGATAGATTTTATCAAGGAACGATAGAACGAAGTGTTAGCTTTATGTGAAAACAGCTAATTTGTATTTACGTCTTGAAGCGTTCCGGGTTCGATTCCCGAGGTTTCTTCAATATATATGTATTGTCTTCTCGACTCTACTGTTTAGGTTATTAGATTGTATTTAGGTTATTAGTTGTTTCGTATTTGTTTTTAATAAATATAAGAACTAATACTATAGTAGAAATTTAAGATCTCTTAAGACAGCAAATGTCTTGGCAGTCACTTAAATTGTACTGTGGTATTTAGTTTTTATTGCGCATTCACTCAATTGTATATCAAATTTCAATGAATTGCAATAACACTAAGAGTCCATATATTTGGTTGAATCTTCAAACAAAATTTAAAAAGAATTTGATTTGATTTCAACCCAACAGGTCTTTCCATGATTTTAATAATATTATCATTTTATACTTTTTTTATATCATCAAAAAACAAAAACATGAGATTAATATAAACCTAGATCCCACTAAACACCAACTAAAATTATAACATTACTGTTATAATTTCAAACTCAATAATGTAACTATTATGTTATCATATGTGTTATATTCATATTGTTGAATGCAAAATTATAATTCATATTAATGTTATGTTTTATTTAGTTGGTATTCACTGATTGTGAGTTATTGATGTAGAGATAAAAAATTTTCATCCTTTGCTTCTCTATTCCGCATCTAGAACGTGCTACTTTTATCAGCGCGCTTTTATTTCTAAAATTCTGTATAGTAACGTGAATTACACATAATGCTAAATGTACACTGACATCGTCATAAGTGCGTTCTGAATACGGGCTTTTGTTTCTGGTAAGAACATATAAGACAACAGCCATTTGATCAATCTACATTTACATCAAGTACATTCGCTCCTCATTTGATCAACACCGCGATTGCTCATACATAGATCAATGTAGGTTGCTGCAATGGTCACATTCCGCGAACTCGATGCGAATCGAGGATTCTTCTTTTTTCTGTGCATTATTCCGTGTGTCCATTTACGGATTTCTATGACTAATATGGATTTTCTATTTTATAGATAATTTTTTTAAACGTTCAAAGTAAACGAGAATAATATTATTTAAAAAATAAATAGTAAACGCAACTGATAAATATATAGTTTCAATAATTCGCACCTTTTCAAAAACTATCACAATTATAATAAATACATTGTAATAAATACGATGGCTGGAAGAAGTACATAAAGATAACCAATTAAAGTGTGTTTATAACAATTTGTAAAAAAACACATTCTTTGTCAAGAATTTAATTATTATTAATTAGTTATTAGTTTATAATTACATTATATTAAATTAAATTAGTCAATATACATATATCTACGGATATAAAATATTCTATACACATAAAACATTCTATCATAAAAAATGTATCCAGACTGATTAAACTTATATCTAACATTCTATTGTATCGGCTTAGATATTTTTAAAACCTGCATGATATTACAATACTGCTTACTATTAACAAGAATGCAGGAGCACAACTTAACATTGCATTATTGCCTGATTCTGTTGTGGAACTTTCTTCTTTTTTCGTCGTACTTTTGGTTGTAGATTTTTCAGTAGAACAGGTTATCTTAATTGTTAAATATGTACTTTTAGTGGAATTATTGGTAACAGTACTTTCTTCTGTTGCTAAAATGATATTTTTAATAAGTAAGTGCTGATTATACTGATAGAACTATTAATTATCAATATAAATATTTATTTTAATATGTACTAATATAAATAAATTTATATTGATATATGTTTTATTTATTTATGTTAAAATATTAAAAACAAATACTTATGGTAATAACTGGTTTGGTTGTGGATTGTTCTTGTCTTTCTTCGCTTTTTAATACAACCGCAGCATTTGCTGTTAATATAAAATTAGCCCATGGAATAGTACTTCTGAAATACAATTTACAAAGTGATTTGTAATAGTGTCATACAAAACTGAATTTTTTTCTTTGATTATATGTTTATGCTTTGAAGTAAAAAATTTTATTGACTTATTGATAATCTCTAAAGACTTAATTATTACTTTCTTTTTAATAAAATACATCATTATAAGATTGATAGGAAATTTTATATAAGCTGTAATATACATTATTTTGCATTAATATTCTGCACAACTTACGTGACGCGAATTGCATTGCTAGAAGCCACAATAATATTTAAAGTATTTTTTAAATTAGCATGAATTGAAGTCAGATTAACTTTTTCTTGCCGTAGACCCAAATTAATTACGATAAAATACACTGGATAATTTTTAAAAGATCTATAATTATTAATAAAAGAAGTAATTAATTTTAAAAATTCTGTTTTGGCTGATAAGATTATCTACTACTATGTATTATCTATTACTATGTATAAATATTGTATATACCAACCTCTTTAACACCAACACGCGATCATTATTTAAACTTGCAAATTCATAATCTCCATGTGTAAAAACTGGCTGTTTTCTTAGAATAGCCAGCTTTTTGTACGTTTTCAAATTGCTTCTTTTTCTATTTTGTTGAATTTCTACATTTCTATTAACATAATTAGGATGAATAGGGAGATATGTGGTTTTATTTGTAGAGAAACCAGCTGAATTTTTGGAACTCCATTGCATGGGAGTTCTAGCTGGATCTCTTGAAAAATATTTGTATTCATTTATGCCTCTGGCACAACCCATGGGATCAATGGTACTATTCCAAAGTATTTTTGTATCTAACATAGCTATTTCTTCGCCATAATATGTGTATGCTTGTCCAGGCAATAGAAGACTAAGCATGTGAAGGCCGTCGATTCGGTTGAGTCCAATTCTTGAAGCTACTCTTGAATTGTCATGGTTTGATAACTATTTATAAAAGATAATTAAGTTTGTAAGTAAAGAGAAAATATATCCATTTTTTAAATTAACGTTTTTTTCTCTTTAAATCAGACAAAAATAATATAATCATAAATTAATACAATATAAAAATATAAATATAAAATTTTTCTCCTTTTTTATAGAATTAATTCAATTTATTATTTAAAATTCTTACCACCCAATTAGTTTTGGTATATTTCGGAAGAAGTTTAAGCCATTTCTCTAAGATGTGTTTAATATAAGTAGCATTACTACTGTCACGAATATGTGTAATAAATTTAAAATTGAACGGTGCAATTCCTTTATGCGTATTAT